TCAAACAGTATTTTTTAAAGATTAGCTAAATTAAATCATTTTTGCAATTAGTGTCAAATTAATCCATAATGGAAGGTGGATAACAGCAGGAGATAGAGTCTCTTAGATTTTGACAGATACCCTCATTGGGTTTAATGTTTTGTATAATATCTCCTTAAGTGAGCAAAGAGCTTGCTTCGATGACTTCCTTCCCTCACATCTATGCTGCTGTCCACAGAGAAATAATATCTTTGACTATGGGGAAAACTAACTCTCTTCTTACATCTCTGGATTCTGAAGGGGAGTATTGTTAACACTGGTTATCTTAAAAACCATTTTTTGCCCTTTTCAGGCCTGATCTCTGGCACTTAATAGGTGAGCACTTGATAGGTGAGGGTTGCTTGAAGCTCCATGGATTGTAACATACAAAGATTACCACAAAAAAAACCAACCAAACAAACAAAAAAACTTAATTTCATAGAGATAGGTGAAAAAGCAGCCAAATAATCATAACTAGTGGAAATCAAGGAATAGTAATCTTCAGTAGGCAGACTAATGGAGAGAAGGAGGCTGGAAATGGGATAATGAGACCAGCCATCTCAGGAATAGGGTCTGGATCAACAAGAGCTGGGTCTGAACATACTTCACTATCTTAGGACTTTGTCACTGAGACTGATTCAAGTAAAAGGAAGCAAACACACTGGTACTTACCAGTGGCTCATTTGAGTGTTTGGCTCTAGACACATCTGTGCCCAAAGTGCTTTAATTTGCTGTACCTGATTCTAGGCAGGCCTTCAGCTCTGACCTGGGATTGAACTCTGTGTGACTTTCTCTGATGATTAAATGCTTACTCCTGTCTGCTCAGGCTCCTCAGACACTTTCATTTTCTCAGACAATTTTCTTTTTTTTTTTTTTTAAATAAGCAGGGACATGTGTGTAATGGTTCATTTATTCTGGCATCAGATGGCATCACTTGATTAAATGATTGGTTTACGCCAAAACTTCTTTTTGTACCTTATCTGGCCTACCTGACTTCAGTGACTGTTTTGTTTAAAGCAGTAGTGTGTTAAGAATTACTGAGCTTCAGGAATAGATGAAGAATTTCATAAGAAAATCTCTGAAGTTTGAGAAGACAAGTAAGTAATTCTGCTGGAGTGAAATCCATTCACAGTTATTTTTTACTCATTTTGGATGAACTTCTCTTGTGTATTCTGTAAATGTATTTTGGCCTTGGTCATATCCTACAGGTCTAACAAAATTCTCATAGAACACTAGAGCTGGTGAACGAAAACCAAACCACCCCCTTCCCCAACTCCAAACATCAGCTACTGTCATCACAAGTAAACATATAAACTTTGAGATCCTAGGGTTAAACACATAGGATACACATGGGTAAAATTAAAGAGCCAAACTCTTAAACTAGAGATAGTGAGACCTTCAGCAAGCAAACAAGATTTTACCTTCCTGCATGTGTAAGAGCACCAGTTTCTCATGCATCTTGGCTGCTGCTGCCTTGCTTGTTGAAGTTACCAAGCCTAGCTGCGCCTTCACGGCAGCAGCTTCACAACTGGCTCTTTTCTTCTATAGCTTATAGCCTATTTTAGCAGCAAAAGTTGAAAACTGTGGCAATTCAGACTCAATTATTACATTATTAGGTTAATGAGCTAAAGCTGGTTCTGCTGGCTCTGCCATGGAGGCAGTAAGAGAACAAGTGCTTGGAAGAAGCACTCATGAATTGGAGATAATGAAACACTTTTGGAATGCCTTTGAAATTAAGTCTGACATGCAGGAAATCTGTGTGTAATTTTCAGTTTTGCTCTTTTCATTACCTTGGCCAAGGATGATTGCAATCTAAGGTTTGGTTCCTTGCGACCCCAATTCATAAAGAAACTGTCCAGATTATAAATTCTTCTGAGCAAGGATGATGTTAAGCTGTTATTTTTGCACAGTGAGGCCTTGGCTTTATCTGGAGCTACTTAATGGTACTGTAATAGAAATCAGCAATACCAAACTATTGATTTAGGGATCATTTAAATTCAGTATTAATCATGTTTGTTCAGCTGTAGTGGGCGTATGAACCTCACAAATGAAATAATACTCCCAAGTCATTGAAAATCCTTCTATGAATATCCTCTGTAATATTTAAGCCTTTCAATTACTTAATGTTGAGCTGAATGTGAGCTCTGCAATGATTAATGAGATCTCTGAGAATGGGGATGTCTCCCTCACGTATTGTTACCTTGTAAAGTTTGCACCTAAATGCTTCCAGAGACCTAATTATCATTGGTGGGTACCAGCCTGTTCTCTCACAGACCTGCTGTGGATCTCAAGTTCAACAGAAATAGGGAAGATAAAAAATGGAGATATAAGCACAGCATTTTGCAGTCAGTGGTCACATACAAAATTAAATCAGTCCTATTTTTGGCTACAATACTAGCAAGGAGATTTTTCCTGAAAGCAGAACTGAAAAGCCTTTGCATCACTGCTACTGACTGTAGGTAAGCAAAAAATCAATGCAGATTTGGCTAAAGGTGGCTTTTGTTAGATTCATGGTCAAATAAAATGTGAAAAGCTCTGTTACACGTGATAACGTTGGGGCATTGTAGACACCATAAGAAAAAAAAAGGGAGTAACAGACTTGTCTGTTGCATCCCAGTCTTCAGTTTATTTCCCAACATACAAAAGGATTGAACAGCCCAGAGAGAGTCTTCTACAATGGAGCAATCTGGAATATTGCTCTGAATTTCCAGCAGATTTACAAACTGCCATTACTAAATATAACTCATCAAGATTAAAAAAGAAAAATCATTTAGCCAGAGCTGTTGTCAAGTCACTATTTAATGTTACTTTTTGTATTTGCTGTGATAAGCACTAAAATTTGCACATTCCTTGATAAATCATTGTTTAGCAGTGTCTAAAGGGTCCAGTAAATGGTTTGAAATTGCCACGGTGTAATAAATGGTTATTTGATAATGAATGAAATTGTTTGAAAATACTGTTAAGATGTCAGGTTTTAACATATAGAGCATTAGTCAGAAGGAGTGCAAACATGGAAACCATAGTGACACTATAAATATACCGCAACAAATGCATTTATTTGTACAGGGCAAATAGGAGGTGCTGTATACAAACCAGTATAAATTGATATATGAAGTTAATTTCAATCTGTAAAAGTAATTGCATTGGTTTAACTTATTTAACTCTCCTTACAATAATATTTATAGCAGAGCAAGAAAGTAAAGAAATAAATGATGATAAATAGATAAAATACATAGGAAATGGGAATTGTTTTCCAGTTTAATTACGCTGTCACATAAAATTATCACAGAAATACACTATGCCGACAAGGAGAATACATTAAAATCCCATTATACCGTGCAGAGCTGGCTAGCTTTTGTTGCTTTTTATTCCAAAAATAGCTTTTCATCTTTTCAGCTACATGAAAAGTTAAACTTTGTAAAAAAACCACAGCAGTGCAAAAAAGACAATACGGGCTATGCCAGTTGAGGGTTAGCCTGCAGCACAAAGCTGGGAAGCAAGAATGTGGTACCCCTCTCTTCAAGAATAAATCTGACCATGCAGTAAAATTTGAAGGGGAAAAAAAAAAATCCTCACCCAGAATAAGTAATTTTCATTCTTTCTTCCTTGGACACAAGGAAACTCTAACTGGAGTGTTTCTGTGTGGCTGTAGCCTCTATACATCCTGTGGTGATGGGACACTATTATAGCTACAGTAAGAGCAAAACATTATAATAACAGAGCATTTGTTTTCCTCTCACAAGCCAGATATTTGTGGTTTCAAACTGAAGTCAATCTTATCATTTCTTGTCATGATGAACAGCATTAATGTGTGTGGTGTTTTTTATCCTTCTGCTTTCCTGGGTCTTGGCCTGAACACAACATGACAGCCTCACCAGAGGCAAAAAGGTTTAGAACAGTGGAAGTTTAGTTTGCTTAAAAACTGCTCAGAATATAAGAACACCAGAATGCTCTGGTCAGTACTAATAATACGGCTACATTATTTTGACCCCTCAATTATATCATCAACCTTGCTGTGTTTTTAAGTTTGCAACTTCCAAAGCTGTGTGATTAAGCAGGAGTTTGTGCTTTAATTAAAATAATATTACTCTTTAGGATTCCAGTAAAAATCTGGAAAGTAGGATTCTTCAGAGACTTCAAATTCAGAGGGAAATGTTTCATATAGACTTCATTAATTTTTAAGATCTTATTATTTCTAAATCTACTTCATATTTCTTTAGCATCCAACTGATGAGATTTGATCACTGAGGATAAGCAAAAATACTGCTTTAAGTAGAAAGGCAATCTCTAGAATATGGAATACCTGTGAAGAGAATACTATGTGCAAACTGAAACCCCAAAAGATAAGGCAGCTTCCTGTACGAGATGAGATTTAGGTCACCAAAGATATTCCTAGTACTTGTCATCCTTGTATCAATTAAATGAATGGACTTGTTCCAAAACTTTATTCCACCTCTTTAAAATTATGTGTATGCCGCAAGAACAATTTTTTTAAGCTGTCTATTGCTACAAGAGAAGCTGTAACTAAAGGAAGCTATCATTGCACTGCAGAATGGATCATTTATAACACACAAAAATGGCCCGTTATTTACAGTTCTTATTAAAAAAAAGTGAACGTGGAATGCATTCAGATTTCAGCAGTTGCAATACTGTTAACTTGCCTTCTATCATTATGAAGGCATATAAAGAGATACAGCTACTCCTAAGGAACATTTCTTTTAGGTCTTGTCCTTTATAAACGTTGCCACTATCATTTTTGCTTGGAAAGTTGGGTTTAAACAAATTCAAAATGAAACTTGACCAAAATTAAATCTCAGCTGTTTTCAGCAAGAACCATGAACCTGGCTTTTATGGCTTTAATTTGGAGGCTCTCTGTGAGATTTGTACTCTTGCAAACATTTTGGTAAAGGTAAGGGGAGAAAGCCAATGGATAGTGAGGTATCAAATTGCAGACCAGCACTGAGCGCTGGCGTGAATTGTCTTTATCCTATTGAAATAATTTATTTTTAGTTTTATCTTTCTAGGAAAGAGGGACAACATTCAGAATCTTTGCAATAATGCTTTTGGGCTTAAGATTGATGCACACTTTCACACACCTTTTGGGGATGAAGTACTGTTTGAGCTGATAATAATGATTAATATTAGAAGTATTACTGTAATAACAAGTAACAGTGTTTGTTACCAGCACACACACACACATACTAGGTAAAAAGAGAACTAATTACATTCATTGGACTGAGTTATTAGTAGTTTGCTTCATGCAGGACAACATTTACCATTAAAACTGTACAGAAATATTCCACAACAATGTCCTAAATTCAGAGTCATCCTGTGGAGTCATTTGCACTTCCTTCCTCCTTAATTATGGCTTCTTGGACTCCAGTCTGTTTTCAGTGGAGTCAACAGAAACACGACATGAGCAGAATTCAGGTCCTGTGGCCACAGATGAGATTATGAAAATCACAAACTTCTAGGAGCAAACTGAGGTTTCACTTGAACTTCCTGCAGCTGTGGTTTTGTGCCTCCTCAACTGAGCCTAAGTGTCTGGGCATAAGAGAAATAACACTTACTTTTAAAAGCATTTTCTAGGATCTGTATTTGTTACCATCACATGGGAGGGTGTGATGCTTCTTTCAGTTATGTCTTATACATGTATACCTTTGCAAGAGAAGCATAGGGACTCATCTCTGAACATACTCAAACCACAAAGAACTAAACAGAGGTATAAATCTATTTCTCTTGCTAGTTTTTAAATTTTCTAGAAAATTAAACTATATATATACAGAATCAAGAATTCCTTACAGGAAGGGAAAGGTGCTTGTGAGGGTTGGGGGAGGTTGTTTAGGGGAAAATAAATCAGGAAATTCTTCACTGACAAGTATCACTGTAACAAAACAAAAAATTGTTATCTTCTGCAGTCAGATCCAGAACTGAGTCTTTAAAATTGAGGAACTTGTTATTCCTAGAACAATCCCTCCACACCGTCACTGAAGCAAAACATGGAATACCTGTCTGTTTTTCCAGCTTGTACCGAAAGTTGCCCTCAGATCTCCAGGGTAGCCTGTCCTGCATGTGAAGTGTCTGTGCCAAATCTAGGAGAAAGTAGAGGAGGTAAGTGACTCAGTATGTCTGTCAGTGAGTGTGCTGTAAAACAGGGGGGTTTACCACCTTTGGGACATCTGTGTGGTAACTAGGACCCAAAGCAGCGCCTTAACTCAGTGTGATATTTAATTGCATAACCCAGTCACAAGCAGAAGGGCCATTGCTGTGCTTTAATCTCACTGCTACCTGATGAATCACAGCCAGTGCAGTGATTTGTGTGTGTGATGTTGTTCAGCCTGTATAGGTTGCGTCAGTCCTGCTGTGTCTGAGCATTTCCAGTCCATGGCTTCCCTTTGCCACAGGCTGGCAAGGCATAATGTGCCTATAATATTGTCTTCTGGTTTGTCAGCTGTGCATTGATTAAGATACAGATGAGCCATATGCTAGTGAACTAAGCTGTTAAATGGATTTTTGGGAAAGTTTGGCTGTAAGGAATTCTGCAAGTGCCAGCTCAGATTTTCCTTTGAACTGCATTAGCCATAAATATGGATTATTCCTGTAGGTCCTATATATGGAGAATTCCATCTGCTTAAAGGTTCAGCAGCAAAATGTGAACATAATTATTTCCCAGCCAGATAAATGAGTCACTTTAGTAGAGACATTCTGACCGTGTGCCTTAGTCAAAGTGTAGAAAAAATTAAGTATTTCCATCCCTGTCTGCTTGACATTAGACAAATATATGTACCTACATCTACATGATAGACACACACAAAACAGCACAGCTTTTGACAATTTCACTCTGGTCATTCTGTTTGAATAGCAAACCAGCAAACTGTTTCCTAGACAAAAGGATAATCCAATTTCATTGCTAAAATCTAAAGTGAATTTAGTGTTTCCTACTATTTTTGGGTAACTGCTATCTGAAAGTATTAATTTATGAATATTACTGAGTAGGTGACCACTCAGTGCTTAATAGGAACTAGCAATTAGTGCATGTAAATCAACTAAGACAGCAGCATCTCAATTGCTGTTCTGCATAGAGGAATGGTTAATTTGTAGGAATACATGTTTCCAGCCCAGATTTTAAAAAGTCACGTTTTCCACTGCTGAAAACCTCAATACCCACAATATTTGTTGTGCATTTTATGATTATTCTTAATGCCCTTGCAAACATCTGTAATAAAATGCTAACAAACCATCATCCATTACTTAATTATGTTTATCTAGACAGATAAAGTTGGGGTGGGGGAAGCCTGTGATAAAAAAGTATTGTTTTCTATTTGGCAAAGACAGGCTAAATTTACAGCTTAATTATTCCTTGCAATGCTGTGGAGAGGTTTTCCTGTTCATCACACACGGGTCCAGAGTTGATTTTCAAAAAACTCCAACAAAAAAAAACAAAAAAAAAAACAAAAAAATGCCCAAAATGGTTCTGGATTTTTTAATTTTCTTTTTCTTTTGTAGTGAGGTTTAACAAATATGTTGACTCCCACTTAAATCAACCTCCCCTCCAGCAGGGGATTTAAATGGTTGCGAGGCTTCACTGGGAACTACACAGGGAACTTCTCTGACAGTGATGAAACACCTTCTATAGGGCAAGAAAAATATCTGGGAAAATAATGTTATTGTTGCCTTGAGAAACTTTGCCTATGGAAAATATCAGGATAATTCATCTTAATTAATAAAAGTACCTCTATGTTTCAGCAACCAAACACAAGAAAAATAGAAGTCAGTTCCAGAAACCTTTACTCTTAAGAGTATCTCACTAAATTCCAAAAGATGGCTTGTGTGTACAGTGATGCCCGCATGGTTAAAGACTGCAGTTTATCTCTAGATGCTCCATGAGATCTTTTTAATTTGAACTCTTTAAATAGCGATTTTTCAAAGGCAAATCCGTGCCAATCACCACGGGACCACTAGACATTAAAAGCAGAATCAGAATCATCTTGTAACAAAATTGACTCTTCGTGCAAAGATAGCCTAGGAAGTGCTTACTGAGAAGAATCATCAACCAATATTCATAGTATATTTATTCTTTGGCAGTAACTGGGCAAAATATTCATTGCAGTGAGTAGTTTATATTAAAACCAGCCACACTGAACTTGTACAGTAACCCATGAAAATATCTCCTTTTAATGTGATAGCTTACCATCTTCATAGTCATAAGATAAATTTGTACATCAGTGCATTTGAAACAGACGAAAACATTGGCAAAAGATTGCCAGATCCATCTTGGCTGTAGCCAGCTGTGGTTGGATTAACTTTTGTGTTAAATAGCTAATAAATTGCTTTCTGCTAAGTATTTAGAAGTACATACTATGAAGAGTTACGTACCTTCCAAACTTGGCACAAAGCCTGCTTTTGTTACATGAACACAAAAACCCCATGCCAACATTTTAAAGGGTGTCTGAGTTCTGGATATGCATTAATGAAGTATTTGTCCTTATATTTTTTCCCTAACATTTTCATGTTTTTTCCAGAGATGGGAGTAAGCTGGAGATGGTTAAGCATGGGTAAGAAAAGTAAGAAAAAGATGCTTTACTTACAAGGGTTGACAATCTGTTCAGCAAACGTAATCTGAGTAGAAAAAACTTAATCCAAAACCCAATCCACAGATATTTTTGCATAGATTTAACCTATACTACCAGATCATTTATATAAACTACTTGACTATTTGCCCTCCATTTTCTGGACATCGGTGTAGTTCTGAGGTAGTCTATTATGAGATATTAAACAACTACCTGCATTAGTAGTTCTTGAAGACATCTTTGTGTTGGAACAGGCCATAAGAAAAATAGCCAGGGAAGTTTTTTTCTGTCTCCAAAAATAATCTGTAAGAAGCAAAACAAATATTTATTTCCATGGTTCTCTACAGATCATCACGTTGCAACGAAGGATCTGTAACAGCACAGAAATAATAATCAATACTGAACAGTCACACCAACGTACGGACAGAAAAGGGTGTGATTTGAGGTTTTTTCTAATGTTGTCACAGCAGCAAAAATTTGGGCATCCATGGAGATAGCAACTTACAGTGCTTTCAAAGGTGCTTTTAAGACTTAAGAGACCTGTATTTCCTTCAGGTGAATTAGCTGTATCCACGTAAAACATACCAGGCCCTAGCCACTCAAGGGAACTTGTTTTACTTTTCTTTAAATCATTATAAAGCAGCAGTAGCTTTTTTAAAATTATTGGTTTTTTATCTAGAGCCATGCCCTAAATGAGGGCTGCTTTTTCCAGCACAAGTGGTTTAATGCATTTTCTTAAAACAGCAGAAGAAAATAGGAAACCAAACTTCTCTTATTCTGAGAAGTGAGCTTTCAGGAGAACTGCTTATGATACCGGATGATAGTGTATGTGTTGTTAGGAAATGTAAAAGAAGAAAGATCTGGAATCATTGACATTAAGGATGCCATGTATGGATTTGAAGCTTTTGAAACTCAATGCAAGGTACACTGCTCAAAACACAGAAGCCATTTCAAAGCCTTGAAAGAAGTGCTAAAAGACAGACAACTTTCAGCAAGACCAAAAATATCAAAGTCATTACTGATCGTATGTTCCCGTCAGACGAAAGCCTTTCCAGACACTGATCCAATATTAAACACAAGAACAGTCAGAATTGGCCGATAGTAAAATCTGTAATAGAAAATTCAGAGACCTGTAACTTAACACTTTTTTAAACCTGACCTGCAGTCCCTGACAAACTGGTCAAAACCAGTTAAAACGGTTCCTCCTTCTCTGAAGGAATGAGCTTAATACATGAAATGAGGAAAATACAAACCTTTAATATGTTAATATGAAATGCTGACTCTTTGTTCCCCAAGTTAAGTAGGTGTTCAGACACAGCCAACCTTATTTAAGTCATAGGAATGATAATTAGGGTCACTCTTCAAAAAGCTCTTAATCACATGCTCAAAGAAGTCGATAGCTTGAAATACCTGTCTAAGCACTTCCCTAAAGCGGGCCTTACCGGGTGAAATTTAACATATAATGATCACATGGAAAGTATCAGAATAATTTCATGCCTATTGATAGTCCAAACACAAAGTCTCATTTCTCACTCAGTTTCCACACATAGAGGATTTCATTTAACTATGGGGTTCCTGGTAATAGTTGCAATTTTTCAGCTGATGACATTTGCATCAAAAAGCTTCTGAAATGTCATTCAGTGCATGTGATATCTTAGAAAACCTGTTTGAAAATGCTATACAGTCCCAGAATATTAGGGCATCTCCTTTGAATGAACATGAGCTATTGGGAAAAGAAAGTAATACCAACTAGGATAAAAACCAGCTTCTTCAACATTTCTTCAAACATATTCAAAAATATAAGGACAAATACTTCATTAATGCATATCCAGTTCAACATGTCTCATAAACATTTTCCTGGCAGACTTAAAAGGTAAAATCTGTTAGGTTTGTATTGATGATATAGTCATTTTCTCTTGGGACCTGGATCAGCATTTAGCAAATACAACAGCAGTACTCTGATTATTACAGTTTCTAAGCTTAATTCTAAATCTTGAAAATGCTACAGAATACAGATTACATCATCTGTAGCACATTTTGTCAAAACCAGACCGGCTGCAGATCACATAAGCTGGTTTTGTTTGCATGTTTCCCATGCCCTGAAATATGAAGCAAATCCAGTGGTCTTGGTTTTACAAATTGGTATTACCTACATACTGTAGTTGTCTACCTTTGAAGAGCGTCTTAATAACATCATGGGGTAAAGAAAGGAAAAGCATCCGACAGACAGATGAGCATACTAAAAACTCTTTAAAATTGTCCAATTAATAATCTTGTGAATAAGGCATGTGTGTTAAACGCCTGCTTGTACAATGCTACCTGAAGACACATTTATCAGACCAGTGAGAATTTTGTTTCAATATCACGATACCTATCAGAAAACATTTGCTCCCCAAACTGTTCTGATAAACACTACATAATACAGTAACACCATAAATAAAATCCATCAAGAAATCTGTGAAAGAAAAGGTGGTCATACATTTATAGAATCCAATCACTGCTGCATAAATTAATTATATCAGTGGCAAATAAAACCCCAAGCAAACACAGAATTTCCTTTAATAAAAATATCAGAGCCCACAATTATACACTTAGTTTGGGGTTTCCAAAACTTTTCAGTATTATATTGAAGTATATATAACAGTATTATATACTGTTGAAGTCAGTAACTGGCTCAAGGGAGACAAAGGCCCTAGGTGCTAGTGTGGAGTTTGGACCAGTTTCTCAAGTTTTTAGAAGGGGCATTATTTCATTAGGAAATGTCAGCTTAGTGACATGAAAATACAGTGTTACATGCAGGCCAGCTTGAGCTCTCAAGAGGGCAACCAGAAACCCCAAATCTGTTCAATTTGTATGCTAAGACAAATGCCACACAACTGGAATACCTGTGTGAGAGGCATATTGCCAACCACGAAAGAATTACTTTGTAAATAAAATGGAGGACAAAAACCCAGCATCTCTTTTACCAGTGGAGAGAACAATGACGTAGCACGCGTCAAAACTTTATGTCCATTGACTGCATCTAAACATTAGATCACAAATAAAGTTATCTTTGTACAGCCAATAAAGAATAACACCTTTCAAGCGTGATAAATAAAACGGGAAACTTCTTTTGTAAAAGATAGCGGCAGTGAACTTTTTTTTCCATCTTTCAGCAGCGCTTCATGTCATAAAATACAAGTATGTTTCATGGACCATTGAAAAGCTGTAATTTTGCCAAAGATGTAAATGTATTTCCTTTAAAAATGAATTCTACAATCTTAATATGATCCAGAATATTTCATAAATCATATTATTTGGCAACTGAAACTTATCAAATGTGCAGGGAAACCTGTCTGTAGGAAACTGACGTACTGACCACGTACATTTTAAATAGCTGTGACGGCTTTTATTTTAATGGCTACTTTAGAAATGAGAAGGTGATAAGCAATAATTTAAGGAACAGCACATGCACCAAAAATTGCAGGCTGCAGCTGTTCATAATGTGTGAGTAAGTCAGTGTCTGCCCCAGAACCACAGTGAGTGTCTCCTTCAAATTTCAGTCCACTGTTTTTTTCCTCAGTGGAAATCATGTGAACATGGGTTCTTCCAACATGCAGTAATACTTCTGCTGCTGCCTATTTTATAATCAAAGAACTGGGTATTTTCATTTCATTTAAATTATAATGACCATTGGGGAGCGGGTAATAACGTCTATTTAAGTTTAATGGGATATGCCTCATATCAATTCACCTGATCTGTTCTAGAGCTGGATTTGTTAGTCCATTTAAGGCAGTCTGAAGCTATTAGGATAAACCACTTTGCCTGTACCCTTTAGGTGGTAAGTCTTCCAGTGAGATCTGATGGACCAGAGACTGCAGGCTGGGCTCTCAGAGAAGCAATCCAGAATTTAAATCACGGAAAAGGGGACTCTGTATCACATACTTAAACATTGTGACTAACACATGTATGCTTAGAATCAGACACCCAGAAGTAGTATGAAGATTAAATTCAACATCACATACAAATTGAACTCACTCCCACTTCCTGAATTTCCATCTGTCTTAAAGACACAAACGGTGCTTGTGCCATTCCCTCACCGGTAATGAACTTGGGCTTACCTGGATCTCTGGAGAGGTTTGGTTTCTTCATTGTCAAAGGACCTGGATCTCTGGAGGGATTTGGTTTATTTTCATTGTCATTGTTCACTGACTACAGCAACTTTAAAAAAACCCAAACAAAGACAGCAAAACAACATTAACAAAGTTTAACATTCAAAGCCTGATATACAATCAACTTACAAACATTCCTGCCTGCAGTCCTGGACATTACCTGTTGTGTTTCCACTCCTGGTCTTTATCACAGAATAAAAGATTAAGCCATTGCTCTGATAAATCCTACTAAATTAAGCTATACCTGTTTTGTTATTCTAGGTCTGGATTAAAGGCTGATAGACCATAGGGCGGCTCAATGCTTTAGTTTAACCCTAGACTTACAGCCACATTTTTGCTGAATTAAAAATGAACACTACATTATACACTAAGGCCCCAAGCAAGTTTTATTTACAGAATAAATACTACATATGGCTTTAACAAATTCTGGTCTAATTGCATTGGTGTTACATGACACGCATCTAGGCTGTGATTTTACATTTCCTTGCTCTGTGGAATGGTCATACTGGATACTAGTAAGAGCAGAAGCTGGCATAACGGGACTTTCTGCTTTTTATAGCAACTCAATATATGTTACTGAAAAAGGTGAGTAGAGCATCTTAACTCTCAAATGCTATTGAGAGACATAGCAAATTTATTGACTAATTCAATCTACAGTAATGGAAGGTGTGATTCAGTGTTTGCAAACATACAAATAGTAGGAAGCTTAAGTGGAAACTTAAATATTATCATCAGAAAAAAGTATGGTAACAAATATTTTTCACAGTCTACAGTAAGATTTTTAAAGTAAGATTTTAATTTATAGGGCTGTATATCTAGAATGTCTGTTTTGGTGTGGTCTTGTCTCAGTCCTTTGCTCCTGCAACAGAGTTTATGTTATTACATATGAGAGAGATGACATTTGGATTTTCCAGTACTTTCAGAACTTGGAATGCTGAGGTCTCCCTGCCTTCCAGTGTGATTCACACATTCCTGTGAGCATGGCGGGTGAACAGAACATAGCCCACAGTTGTGGTTAGAGCCTGGAATTTTTAACTTGCTAAGGTTCTACAGTAAAGACAGAATGTAACTGCTCACTTCAGGTGTGATAAACTTAGAATCAAGGCAGGGAAAAATATTATCTGCATTTGAGTGATTTGCACAAAACCTCAC